CTTCTTATCAGCTGGACGCTTCACCCTCCACTCTAGTCCTCTATTGCTACATCACTGACTCTGGGCCCAGGAGACCCCAGGTCTTGCCAAACTGCTGGCCAACCAGGTCTCCACCCGGGTTCACAGGAGTCTATTGATCGTGGTAGGGATTAGCTCACAGCTTCATTGCTGTTTTTCCCTTACTTCCCCTTATCGGTGACCAACATGGTCACCAGTCAGAGCACATGTCTGCTCATGTATTCCCATTGAGTCTTAGTCTTGGAAGGGGGTTTGCCCTGAGGGGACCCAACCACTTGCCTTGATGTCTCCTGGGCGAGCAACTTGCTTGTTCTTGTAGTAGTCAGTCGGACTGCCGTTACTGTTTTGTATTTTTTCTGTTGGTCTTTCTTTTTAAGTAGAATTATCTTCTGTTCTTCTAAGCCGCTCCAGGCTGGTCTGCTTGTCCATTCCAGTGGAAATGTCCCACCTCACAAGATTCTGGATGGGGTTCAGGATTCCACCTATGGTCTTATGTAATGCAAAGGCTCCACAGAAAGCCTCCTTCACTGGGCACGTTGTAGTCCCTTTTTAGGTATTACAATCAGGTATAGACAGAAGACGGACTTACAAGTTTTCTATGGTGATATTTCTGGCTATTCCTTTCTCTCCCCCTCAAGTGTCTATTTTATAATGTTATAACCAGGAAACCAAGATTCAAAAGACAGCCAAGCATCTTAACATTGTTTCCCCCCCTTTGCCCATTCCAACCATGCATCAGTCCCTGTATCCCAGAGCCCTGTTGTTCCAAGGCTGTACATACGTCATTATTTACCTCTGTCCCACTTAGGCCATTCAAACCTGCCTAATTGTTCTCCCATCTACATTGTTCTTCCATTCCCCTCCCTCTTCTTGTGTCTATTCCCTACCTGTGTCTATTTATCCTGTGTCTATTCCCTACCCTGTGCTCCACCTTCCCTTCCCTCCCCTCACCCCATCCCCCACATCCCAGTAACCAGCAAAGTATCCCCTCCTCCCTTTAGTATGGGTTTTTTTCTTACTCTTTTACAGTAGTGGTCCTATGTAGTATTTCTCCT